TTTTGAGTTGGGCAGGCTATAAAAACTGTAATTTTTTTTTTAAAAACTAAACTAAAATATGTACTTATCAGTCTTGGTAGAGGAGCCATACTATTTGACGTGATGCACAACTGTTCCTGGACTGCAGAAGCATTCCCACAATATATAAAGCTTGGTTAGCACGAACTTTGGTTAGACTTCTTCACAGCTCAGCCTTTCGCATGAACACTTTGCTTAGGTGATGATTCAGCAGAACGTGCGGGCCTCTATAACGGAATACTTCAGAAACCAGGTTCTGCAAGCCATCCATCCTATAGTTAGACTCCAAGTAAGGTTTCTCTTTACATAATGTATGAAATGGCCACGATGCCAGGAAGAAGCATTTCTCTATGGCCAAAATCAACATAGATTAGAGTATCTTGCTTGACATCCTGCATTTGCAAACAGGAATGCACATTACTGTTGATGAGATAGATGGCTGCTTACGCACATGCAGCAGGAAGGAGCCACCAATGCACCCCAGTTTCAGAGCACGGGGACATCCCTTGCCTTAGACACAAAGAGACCACAGGCTGATCAAGAAGGTGTTCGCAACATGCACAGGTTCTTTGTCTTTCTATCTTAGTTTTTAAAAATGGATCACATATCCTGGGCATGCCAACAGGCATTATACACGGGAACACATAAACTAGGTTTGTGTAACGTGCAGCCAGGCCAGTTAAAAAACTAGGGGCTACAGTCTTACAACATACCAAGCTTGGTTAGTTTTAACCTGGGTAAGCCTTTCTATGGCTGGGCTTGCTGTGTGACCCCAATCAACTTGGTTAGTTTATGGATGAATGGATTGTACAAACCCAGCAAGTGGGTTAATTCTGGAAGCAAGTTAAGGGCAACGTGTGAACCCAGCCACCCTTTTGTCATGGGTAGGTATGTTCCCTGGCAACTTACCTCCTCTGTGAATAATGTCCTGCCTACTTTGGCCACTAAGCATTCTGATGCAACTGGGGCCCACGGTGGCCCCTGAAGTAGAAGGAATGGACCCCAAAGCCCTTCCAGTGTGCAGTCACACAGGTCAAATGCACACAACCTTTCATAAGCCTAACAGACCCAATGCCCCCACCCACATGTAGTTAGTGAATTTGTGAGTGTGAAGACAGATTGTGTTTGCACAATCCCAATTTCCCCCCGAGCTGTGCCTCACTCAGAAAAAAATCAAGGTGCACAGCTATACTCACAGACCATGCATGAAATATGAATTGTGGGGACAGAGAAAAATTGATCCTATTCACTCGTCTGATAGACCACATTCACACAACACAATTCACCTAGTTACTGAACGAGCCCATTGTCTCGGTTCAGGCAATACATTGCACTACAAGCTTAACCAAATGGTTTATGTACACACAATACCCTCAGCTACCATGAAACAAATAAAGGTCAACTCTAATCCAGCTTACTTGCTGTGTGAATGCAGCTGTTAGGTTTGTAATGGACCTAGTTAAACATGTTGTATGAATACAACCATAACTTATTTTTAAAGATGGCGGATGGGGAAACACGATTTGGCTAAAATTGAGGGGAAATGGAGAATGGAAGTTCATTAAAGATGTTGGCTTGGATTACACACTAAGCCCCTAATTCTGTATCCCATGGTTTCTTGAACAAATCACAACCGTCCAGGTTCACACAGAACACTATTTATGTATTTATTAAATTTATATGCCGCCCATCTCCCCCATTAACTATAGTCTGCAAAGCAGAAGAGCTAGATTTATGCAACAAGAAGCAAACCAGATGATACCTTAGCCCAGTGTTTCTCAACCTTAGGAACTCTAAGAGGTGTGGATTTCAATTCCCAGAATTCCCCAGCCAGCA